TAGGAAAATTGAGGGCTTGGCATCGTAATGGACTTTGACGATGTAAGTTTTGAGGGTGTGATCATTATCAACTGTTAGAAAAAATGTGATAAGTAATCTAGGGTATTGCATACAACATACAACCTAAGTTTCACAATTCGAGAAGTTATATATTCTTAACAGATATATGACTAATGTGCTCTCGAAGTATGCATAGTCACACGGCATATTTACTAAAGCATGAACCTTAAAGAAGCACACAGAGAGATAGTCCCATCATGTGTGAGTGGGAGATATTGGATAAGGGTGCACCCATGATGGATTAACCCAAGCGGCGTGTGAAGTGGAAACTGTCAAAGGCAGTTTCTCACTAACCACCGCCCATATAAAAAGAGAAGTTTTTTTTCTTTTAGATAAACATACACACCAAAACACACATACGCTATAATCCTTATCCTAAGGTCTTTATCTAACCTGTAATTAACCCTAGGCAAGGGAACTCCCAGTTTTTTATGATGTCCTTTACAAGTGGAGACTCCTATAAATGCACCAGTTGTCTTTTTGGCACCCCAATCTATATACTCCTTGATGTAGTTGTTGACTAAACATCTATAATCACCCATTGCAATCACATTTTGTATATAAACGAATTACAATGTATTTACACAGCATAAATACCTCTTCTCCTTAACTCTGAAGCAAATGTTGAATCTGGAGAGAAAACTACCGTAGAGTTTTTCCTTCAATTGTTTTTTGAGAGAGAGAGAGAGCGTATGTGTGTTTTGATGTGTATCTTTATCTAAAAGGAAAAAAAAAAATTCTTTTTATATGGGCAGCGGTTAGTGAGAAACTGCCTTTGGTAGTTTCCACTTCACACGCCGCTTGGGTTAATCCATCATGGGTGCACCCTTATCCAATATCAACATTAGCTGAAAGTGAAAAATGTTGATTAGCTAAAAGTGAAAAAGAAAGAAGAAGAGAGAAGTAAAATGAAGAAGTGAAGAAGAAGACATGGTTGAGTTGAGACTTGAGAGAGAGAGAAGTGACTGAAAGCATTAAAAGGAGAGAAGAGAGTTGGTGACTGTGTATGTCAGTATGTGGTGCTCAACGCTCACTCCTATTTTATTTTTCAAGGTTTTTTATTGGAAAATATCAGTTTAATACCTCATGGTTTAAAAAATCACCAAAGCACCCTACGTAAGTGTACAGTGTTTACTCAAGCCGGACCAGGCTCGCGAGCCCATAAGCCGAGCTTCACTCTGTTCAAACTTGACTCGGTTAACAAACCGAGTTTGAGTCGAGTCGACTCGATAATAACCGAGTCGAGCTCAACTCGGCTCGTTTACAGTCCTACTGCCACCATCCCCACATCGAAAAGCATTAAGTGATTCAACAAGAATATTGATTCAATGGCATCAAATAAATAAGTAAATTCATAATGCTATTCTTTTGCTAACACTTCCAAAGAACAAACATAACAGCAAATGAAAAGATGAATAACATAAATTGTAACCCTTTCAGAATATAATCATACCCCAAGTCGATATGCACCAAACGTATATATCTTGGCATTTGTTGCTACCACCAGTTGCTCATTAAACCCTTTTGCACGGCTAATTTGTTGAACCCAAATCTTCACAATCTGTTTAATAACAACATTACAGCTCAAAATCATATGATAAACTGGGCTTAAACATACATATAAATTGAGAGCTGAGAAAGGAATTTAAACCTGGTCTAGTCGACCAAGAACTTCATCTGTACGTTCAGCCTCCTCTCGACTTTCACACAGATTCACATCTTCAAATACTGAAACAAACAAAACCCACTAGAAGTAGTACAACCTCAACTTATTAGTAACCATATTCACTATTCACAATTATCAAATCAAATTCATAACTGAAACCTCTTCAAGCTCGCGGGTCTTGATCACATCGAACTCCGTTGGCCATCCCAAGGATATGGGCCTCGTTATGCCCATTAGTATTATTTTTCCACAAGTTTTCCTTCTTTTCCTTTTATTTTCCCTTTCTCACTGAAGCGGGTGAATTGATGGACCGGTTGAACGTTAAAAAGTCCCTACGTAAAGCTCAAAGGCTCATATTCTATTCAAACGATCATAATTTTTTATTCAAGAGGAGTTACAGGACTGTAATCCCTTATGCCGCCTATTGGTACTAGTGTAGTAGGGTTGACCTGCAATATAGAACCCATAGGTGTAACCTTTCGCTCAATACTAGAATCGACAATTGAAGCATCTGAGAACGCATTAATCGGGGATACACGACAGAAGGAATTGTTTTATCTATAAACTTCACCTTTAACAAGTGTAGATTTTTTCCATAATCTTTTTTCGTTCTTTTCTATCCCGAATCATCTGTCTTTCTCCTAAGATCGAAAGCGGTAAATAAAAAAATAATCAAATCACACCATCTCTATAATAGGTAAATGCCTCTTTTTCTCCTTAAGTTGTCGAAATTATTCATAATAAGATATTGGTTACAATTGAAAAAAGGTCTTATCAATAAAATTCCATTTATCCGCGATCTAGGCATAGGTAGAAATCCATTCTAAAATTCTTTTCTTTACCTCTCGTGAGAAAATGATCCCACAAACAAAGGAATTCTAAAGTACGAAATAACATAAAAGCAGACTCATTAAAAAAAAAAAGATATGACCTTCTACTCCAATTTTTTCTTTTTGACAGGAGTTGATAAAAAATAAGAAATATTTGAATCCAATTAGATTTCATCCAAAGGTAGTAGTATAAGAATGAAAGGAACTATTCCGATTTGATCGAAGTTGAAGAATCAAAGAATTTCTCTTGCGGAGGATAATTCGAGAAGTTTTTCTTTTCTTAAATTATGATCCAAAGAAGAAAAAGAATCGAATACTCGTTCTATGATGAAAATAGAATAACCCTCACCCTCCATTTTGTGTTTTGTGCATAGCGGGTATACGCTTATACACTATACAATCAAATCTAAAAATCCCTGGGATGATTTATGAATTTGTAATAGATTTACCAAGGGGTTGTTGATGACCAATCTAAAACTAGAAAGGAATTTTAGAATTCTTATGGACGAATTTGAATTTAAAAAGAATTATGATATAAAAGAATACATTAACCATAGTATAAAAAAAATAGACCGATCAGTTGATTCGTTCCAATTCATTAGTTCAATCCGGTATAAATTATATAATATAATATAAATATCATAATATGACGGCATCGTCATCTTGACAAACATGAATAGAAATAGTTCTTTTGTTTTTTTTTTTAAAGAAAAGGAATTGTTTTTTTTCTTTGAGTAAGATACCGTTAAAAAGCTTATTTCAAGCTTATCGACGTAGCAACCTGCTTTAACCAGTTGAAGATCGTTTTTGAGGTCAAAATCCACCATTTTAACGTGTTTCGTGGTTATTTTAGTTGTTTGCGTATTTTTTCCTATTTTATCTTAGGTTTTCTTCTTTTAATTAATTTAGTTTTTTACTTCCTTTTATTATTAAGAGTCTTATCAAGGTTAATTGTCACCCTATACAAACTTATTTTTCATTTTGGATGTTATTCAATGAATTATTCGAAACTTATTTCAGATTTTAAAGCTTAAGTTTACGTGGTTAACACTTATTATTAGTTCTAAAAGTATAGAATGCTAACCTTATTTTATCACGGTAGCTCACTACGTCACTCTCAATCAAATGAGTTTGTTGAGCATAATTTTATCAAGAAAANGAGTAGCTCACTTTTCATAACTTTTTGTACGTCAGTACGCTTTAGCGACCTGACCAACACTAAAATCAATACAACTCAGTGGATGTAGGACTTGCTACCTTAGCATCCGAACCACTTTAAAAGTTTTCCTAGCATTTATTTCATTTCATATACCCATTATCACGTGCGTTAATTCATCATAGAACAAAACCCACGTGACAATTGGTTGGTGCCGAAAAACAGCATCAACAACATCGAACTCCGTTGGCCCTCCCAAGGATATGGGCCTCGTTATGCCCAGTTGTTGTACGTGATTGCTCCCCATTAGTATTATTTTTCCACAAGTTTTCCTTCATTTCCTTTTATTTTCCCTTTCTCATTGAAGCGGATGAATGGATGGACCGGTTGAACGGAAAAGAGTCCCTATGTAAAGCTAAAAAGCTTTAAATAAACATGATTTATTCAAACGGTAGTAACTTTTAATTCGACAGGAGTTACAAGCTGTAAAATATCATTAGAAAGCTTATTTCGAGTCTATCGACGTAATAACCTGTTTTAGCTGGTTGGAGATCGTTTTTTAGATCAAAGTTTACCGTTTTGACGTGTTTTAGAGTTATTTTAGTTGTCTGTTATTTTTTCCTATTTTATCTTAAGTTTTTTTCTTTTAATTAATTTAGTTTTTTGTTTTCCTTTATTATTAGGAGTCTTATTAAGGTTAGTTGTCATCTTATATAAACTTATTTTTCATTTTAAATGTTATTCAACGAATTATTCAAGACTTATTTCAGATTTTAAAACTTAAGTTCATGTGATTGACACTTATTATCGGTTCTAAGAGTATATAATGCTAACCTTGTTTTATCACGGTAGCTCACTGCGTCACTCTCAATCAAATGAGTTTGTTGAGCATAATTTTATCAAGAATATATTTACATTTATTTTGCTTCTCCTCTCTTTTCAGATAAAATTCGAACTCAGCGATTGATCGAATTAGCCCTCATTCTCTGAACGAAGACTTCAAAAGAGAGAGAGAATCAAAGGAATTGACCTTGGTTTGTTTATTTTAAGGGTGATTATTTTATTACATTCTGATTGTTTATTGCTATAACTAATACAAGTCGACATTTTTTTTTTTTTTTTTTTTTTGTTCAATCACTTTCTGATTGCCGGAAATATCTAATCCAGGCATGAAGTTTACCCAAAAATTAGGCCTTTTGGACGAAAAGGGAAGTTATTTGCATAGTGTACACAGTACACATACATCATCTTCGCCAAAAATGTCTTAGCAAAGTGATAAAGATCATTAATTGTATATTAATATAACCCTTCATAGTATCAGTCCTCTGCATATATAATCTGAATCCATAACTACAGTCTACAGAATATTTCAAGTGCAAAGTAGCAGAAGCATTATATAATGTGAAAGGATTGATAATATCTATCTCCTAGCATTTTGTTAAATTGATTTTCAAAGTCAAATGACGATAATATGATAATTGATTCTGCGAAATCGTTCGTTTTGGAACTCATTCATCTACCTTCGCCTGGTCTTACTTGCATTTGTGGAAACATAAGTCCTCAAAGACGGAGAGTGAGCAAGACCATCCGGAGCAATTGTTGTATTCTGAGTGCCATTCTTTTGTTGCATTCTTCTTCTTGCAATGTAGCCTCTGATCCACGGCGTCACGTCTTCGCTTATCTTGATCATGATAAAGAAGATGATGCGGTAGGCAACGATCATGCTGAAGATAACACTGAGATCGATCCATTTTGATCGGTGCACATCAATCTGGAACACATTTTCCAGGATGTATTCGCCAGATATCTTGGGAAGATATGGTGATTGGTTGCTAAACATCAACCCTGCAAGATCATTTTGATATTGCCCCTGAAAAAAAAATTACATGTATTCTTATCAATGACCACTCACAATATTTGTCCATGGCCTCTCATTTCATTGACTTGATGATTGGTTTACCTGCAGAGCCCAGAAGTGAAAGCTCAGATATGACATTGGGTAACGCCAGACCGGCTTTGGAATGTCATTTGGTAGCCTGAAGTATCCGGAGACTAGCATAAATATACCCTGAAATGAGAAGAAAAAGCATGGTTAGGCTTATTGCGACCAATATGTTTGGATTTACATCAAGATTTCACTAACCTGAATTCCAGCTCCTATGATGATACCCATCAGGAAGTTTGGGACAATACTGGCTATGGCCATCATCAAGCTCTCGACCACAGTCACACTTGCATAGAGGCACAGTACAAAGAAGAAATAATGTTCAAAACCAGGGTGAAGACCGACCATAAAGTAACAAATAGTTCCAGAGATGAAAGTGATCATAATCAAGAAGGGCATCGCAGAAAGAGTGTTGCTAATGACAAATGCTGTTACACCATAGTGCCCATTCAGCCTTTCTCTTTGAAAAACCTGCAATTAAAACTTGTCAGCTCTTAATTTGTAATAGATTTGTTGAGTTGAAGAGAGACTTGACTTGCCTTCATGTCTTCCACAAAAGAAGGAAATCCACCAATTGACATGAATGTAACAAATCCGAAGACAAATGATGCACATGAACCTCTAGCCTGTTTAACAAAACAAGTTCGTTCAGAATTTATGCTAATTCTTAGCAGACAAATGAATTTGAAAACTCTAAATTTTAGCAGTACCAGAATTGAACTGTAACCGGTTCCCACATTCAGATAGATGGTTCCAATGCAGATAGTGACTACAACATATATAACAAGCCTCAACCAGTAATATCCAAAGTCCCGTGACATGTTGATGAATGAACGCTTGGTTAAAGTATAAGCCTGCATCAAGAAACTAGCCTGACTGCCTCCTGCCTCTAGCACAGTTCCTCTCTGTAATTTTATAAATATATTTGGGGATTAATTAATTTATATGCCACAAGTACAACATCACAATAAAATGAACAAGAATATCAAAGAAAAAGTACTCACAACTTTGGATATCTCCTCAACTTTTTCATTGGCCGCATAAGAGTACTGAGAAGTTCTGTAATAATCAATTAGAGATCGTATAGCTTCAGCAGTTGTTATCTTTTCAAGGGGATCATCAGTTAACTCAAACTGGTCATCAGGAACAAAATTGAACACATAAATAAGATATTCTTTAAATCAACCTTTTAATAATTTAAGCAATTAGAGGAGGTTGAAGAAGAAACTTGATATTGTACCCGCAATTTCATGGAACCCTTTAGAGTTGCCTTGACTTTATCGAAGTCGGAATTGATGCACCTAAGGAAATGATCAGAGGGATTCCTCAAAGCAGGACAGGGAAACCCTGCTTGTGCAAAGAACTGCAAATTTCATTCATTAAACTTGTCAATCAGGGCTCCATTTCTCTGAAATAATTTATATCTATATATATGAATCCATCTTAAATAAAGACCATAAGTTATTGCCTCGTATGCTTCCGAAGCCTGACCAAAATAAACAGTTTTGCCTCCTGAAAGAAGGTACAATTGATCAAATAGCTCAAACACTTCACTACTCGGCTGGTGGATTGAAGCGATGACAGTCCTTCCATCTCGAGATAGCCCGCGCAGAGTCTGAGTGACAAAGAAAGCCGAAGCACTGCAACACAATACAGTTGAAGTTAATAGATACTAGAAGTAAAACAACATTTACATCTTCAATATTATAAATCAATGTAAAGCTTAATTAACCTGTCAAGTCCACTGGTAGGCTCATCAAGAAAGAGCAATCTAGGCCTCATTAAAATTTCGAGAGCAATGCTAACCCTTCTCTTCTCGCCTCCACTGATCCCACGCAAATGCCAATTTCCAATCACAGTATCCGCGCAATCTTGCAGCCCCATCTCAATAATGGTACTCTCAACCAAGGCTTTCTTCTCCGACAACCCCATCTTATCCGGCAGACGCAATCTTGCTGAATAAGCAATCGTTTCCCTCACCGTTAGTGTACCAATCAAGTTATCATCTTGAGTCACGTACGCCTGATGATCAGTACATCAAATCAAACTCATATCTTCGTATGACAGATCAAAAAACATAAAAAAAGAAAACATATCCTTATACTCACAGCAGTGCCGAAAGAGAGCTTAGTTTTACGACCATTAAGCAGAATGGTGCCGGAGAGGAAAGCATTAGCAGCAAGGCGACTGGAGAGAGCATCAAGAAGAGTTGATTTGCCGGAACCAGAAGGGCCCATGAGAGCTGTAAGGCTACCAGGCTCGGCATAACCAGTGAGTCCTTCTAGAACATTTTGAGTTTCTCCATCGCCGAGAGTTACCATCACCGTCAGATCTTTCCATGTAAGCCTTGCAGAAACATCTCCCACAGAGTCTATATTAGTCTTCTCTTTCCAAATCGTCTCACTCAAAGGACTCAACCCTCCCACCACCATCCCATTCCCCGATGGCTTGCTTGCCTCTATCTCTGTCATTACATGGTTCGTCGAGTTCCTCATCTTTACTATTATCACTATTACAACACCACTTTATCTTCAATCTCTGCAGATCAAATATATAACAACCAACCAAATGAAACGAGAAACCGATGTGAAGAAATAAGAGTTGTATGAGTTGACTGAAGGAGTAGCAGTTGTTTGAATGAATGAGAATCTCATGCATGAAACATGAACTGAACTTAGCACAAGTCACAGCTTTCTTCTTTGCAAAGAAAATAATGTTAAAGATTAATAATCAAAACAACACTACACCATTGTCGTAGCTTCAATCTCCATTAAGAGTGCAAAAAAAACTTTGGCCATTAATAAATGAGTTCTGGTGGGTGTTGGTAGAGGCATTTAATACAAATACCCACCATCATTAAACGTTGAGCTCCATTGATTTTTTGACAAACCAATTAAATTTAATTAAAACATATATATAGGAATCAGAAGATTGTAATCACATGAATTGACAAGCTTAAAAAGTAACAAAGGATAAGCATATATAAGCTAATTAAATTATCAACTGCCATTAAAACCAAGTAGTTGCAGAGAAGAAATGGCCTATCACACTTTATTAATCAAACTATTCAAAAATTATCTAATTAGTTAATAAGACATAATGGGATGGTGGCTTGATGTATCTACAATTTTAGGATTCGACCGTCATCCATGTTTATTATTTAAATTATTTATCGGATCTATTAGTTTATGAGATCCTACGAAATGAATTATTTTATAATTTATAATTATGTTTATATCTACTATATTATTTATACATATGCATTTAGTTTGAAAAGTTTAACTAACTTAATTAAAACACGAGGGAAAGTCTGTTTTTCTTGGGTTATTAATACTTGTGCAGCAAATTTAGATGATTGATTCTAGCGAAAATCAGATTAAATATTTAAATTAAGGTTAAAAAATAGAGAAGATTAATATTTACATACTCTTTAATACAGTAGTTTATCCTCATTTATATATGTTTTTCCAATAAAAAATACTGCATTTATAAATTTTTGTATATAATATAGAGTATATATAAGCAATGTGTTATTTACATGTAGCTAGGCAATTAAAAATTCTCTATGTTCAAACCTAAAATCTTTAAATTAGGGTTTGTTTGATTTGTGTTTTAAAAATAATATTCAAAAGCCGAAAATTGATTTAAATTTTTGAGTTATTTTTTAATATTTTAAAATGTGTTTGACATAATATTTAAAAATTGTTTTCGAATTAAAAAACTATAGAAAACTGTGAAAATAACTTTTAATCGTATTCTAATTTTATATTAGTTTTTAGGATTGGATTCAAAAAGTTTTCCACTCATTTTTTCTACCAAAATTTTTATTTAAAAAAAAACTGTAATTAAATTTTATATCAAATATACCCTTACAAACAGAAATTAAAGAATTAATTATACTTACTAAAAAAAGATAAAAAAATCTTATTTATAAGAAAAATTAACTTTAATTAACAATCGGATAAGTCTGAAATGGTGTCCACATAATTAATAAGTTTGCCTCGATGTGATTTAGACGTATAGCCGAATTGATAATGGAATGGGGCACCGATTGAGAAATCAAAGGCATCGTAGACTGTTCGTTGTTGTCAGGTAGCCATGGCCTTTAAAATGTCAAAATTCAGCACCTTCTTCACACTATTTATTTCCCTTTTTTTGCTGTTTGTAATAATAATAAATGGGAAAGGTTTTTTTTTTTTTTAAGTGGGCTGTACCAAATACCAATTGACAGCTTCCCAAATTTCTTAATTAAAGTCCCCTTCATATGGGTACAGAATACAGATTGATTAATTTAAGAATAGTCCTATTTTTTTATAAAATTTGTAATGGTATATGTATTCTTATATTAAATTGTTAAAATTAATTTTAATTTTTGTTAGGGCCAAAAATCATCTTGAGCTCGACGAGGTCCAATAACGAAATAAACATGTTATGGTCTAAGGCCTCAACCCAATCCCGATCGGGCCTACGCTTAAAATCACCTTGTGAACTACCCACTCTACTAGTTGGACTATCATATAAGTTCAACTAAACTGGGTTTCAGCCCAATAGCCTGCAACAGTTCATAAATAGGAAATCAGAATCCCATTCTATTTCCTCTTCTACTAAAATTCCAAATCTTACTTAAACTATTAAATTTAATCTGATAAAGGGAAATAAATCATATCTCTTTTATGATAGGGATTATCTCTCAAAAGAGGATTCAATGTCCTACTAGGATTTCACCCCTTGGGTTCACTATAAAAACAGATGTTTGCCCTCTCATTAAGTAGGCAATCTCCCATAGTCAATCTATACTACTCAAAACCATCTATTTGCTCATAAGTTCTTGCTCCCAAGAACCCGACGCCTCCACCGTAATCCTGGCCTCCGACAAGACTCCTAGTAATTCTTCTTCTCCTTAATTCTTATTAAATCTCTTTTAGCTTTGCTGACTTGAGCGTCAGAGTGTCTACGGCAAACACCACCTTGATGTTTTTCGGAAGCTTCACGCTTGCCTTTTCATGTGTGCAGGTCTAACGGATTGTCAGTAGCCTCAATCTCACGGAATCAAACCCTATTTTCATGACGGTAAATTTTTTGCATCTACAATTTTCTACTCTTTATTATCTCATAAACTCTATTTTTTTTTTTCATTCAGATCATTCTTAGAACAAAAAGATATCTTAATAGAGGAAAAATATTTACAATGGGATGTATAGGATTACAATCAAAACAAAATTATAAATTTTTAATTACTTCATATACTTTTAATTATGATAACTGTTTTAATCTAGCAGCCCAATTGCCCATTGAAAAGATAAAGTCAAGAGCAAGGCCGAAGGCCCAAATCAAAGTTAACAGAGCATCAAACTTCGGTACTAATCCTCATTGATGCCTTTTACGAGGTCACAACATTAATCCCTTTAAAGTATAATATAATAACAAAAATTTCTTTAAACATTTTGAAATGGCATAAACTTTTGTGTCATTAATGACGGTTAGTGAGTCGTTAAAATTTTTTACTGTTATTAGTAAGTAAATATTATCAAATTATCCTCTTATCATTTATTTTAATAACTAAAATTTAGCAGTGAAATTTTTTTTGTTATTTTTGAAACTTCAAAGAGATTTATGTTATTATATCATACCTTAAGAGGATAATATCATTAACCAACAAAATTAATATACTTATATGATATCAATCTATAACTAAATATTGTATCTTAATATTTATTGTTAAAAATAACAACTTATTACAAATTTATTGTTTTCTATTATACTTTTAATTATGAATCAATCTTTTAATATATTTAATATTATGAATATAATATTACATGATTATACTTATGTGATAATATATGGCTTAACTTTTTTAACTCATGTATAACACGTTTAACCTATTTATCATATTAAATTCATTTAACTGGTTTATCATACGCATTAATTCATTTACTGATAGTATTTAAATAGTTTAATGAACGATTATTCATGCCATACATGATTAATCGTGCTATAAACACAACATATGATTGTGTTATAAGGAGTTACATAACTCATTTAATTAATTGTCACAAAACGAATTTTGCGGGTTTGACATGCCCCAATCTAAATATGGTGTGATTAGTTGAATTAATCAACATGAATACATTTATTATTAACTCTAACCCACTTAAATCGTATTAGATTCGTGTAATGTTATCATATTATGTAAAAACATTTTTTTTTAACAACCGAGGGTGTTCAAGCTAGTTTATGCGCACTTAAACTAATCATCCAAGACTCTAAAATTATTGGCTGGAAAAGAGTTCTAATTAGGGGTGTTCGGTTCTGGGTACCCTACATTTTTTGAAGGAACCGGAGCCAGAACCTGTAACGACGGTTTCGGTTCCAGGTACCCTATAAAATTATAATTACCCGCCAAAAGTTTTTTAAATAGTAAAAAACCCTTAAAACTTACAAATTACCCCCCACCTGACACTTGTTAACAAAAATAAAATTACAAATTACAAACTCCATTACTTTGTAAAAGTATATTCTCAAAAGTTAAACTAACTTGGTTTAAATGTTATGAAATATAAATATAAATGTATTAACATTACTTTTTCTACAAAAGTTTTTATTAACCCCCCTACTCTTTAATTTTATTTTATATTAGTCTCAGTTCCGGGTTTCAGTTCCTAATTGTAGGAAATGGAACCGGAACAACATAGTGACGATTCCAAAAATTTAGAACCGAAACCTACCCGTTGATGGTCGATTCTTGGTAGGAATCAGAACTAAACCTCGGGTACCCCCGGTTCCGATTCCAATCGGTTCTTTTGAACACCCCACCCCTATTAGCAACTAATGAGATATGTAAAAACATATTTCCTCTTATAACTCCTAAATTCCTCATGGAATTTGACCAAAAGGATTTGATAAAATCAGATTAATATTATTATTATTATTATTTGTAGTGAAATTGAAGTCAGAAAGCCTTGCCACGTTCAATGTAGGTATTAATTAAACTAAATATATGGGTGGCACTAACATGCGATGCCATGCCATGTTAGTCGGTAAAAACGTGCGAATTGCATAATTAATTATTTATTTTAATATGGTTATGAGGGGATATTTTTTAGTCCAATTTTTGACTTAAAATCTTCGTGACAACTCATGTTCATATTTGAATGTGTCGACATTCTTATGTCATACAATTCAATAACAATACAAAATTTTTATAGGATATGCTATTTAATCCAATGAAAATTTTAATATGCTCCGTGAATCAAATTATTGAATTTAAAATTAAACTTTTACCATGAAAAAAAATTAATAATAAATTTACATGTTAACATGATAGATAGTAATAATAAATTTGTAAAAAAAAAAAAAAAATTAATATTACCCATCACTTTATTAATATACATATAATTCATCTCTTAATTTAATATTCCCGTAATAAAATGCAACATCCTGATTGATCGGTACACAAAGAAAAAAAATAATAATAAAAACGTCACTATACATGTGTCATTAAATTGGTGAAAACGACACCTTTAATATGTTATTATAATATCTTTATCTTACTTTCTTGACAAGAAAAGCAACAAAATTGAAGAAAAAAGTTGAGGTGTAGAATTTTCCCATTTTCAAAGTAAAATAAAATAAAATACTTTGAATTCGTTTGTGTTTCTGATAAATGTTTCTTGGAAGCAAATAAAAACAAAGAAAAAGACAGGCAAGTTTGACTGTTTGACAGAGTTAAATCATTTTGGTCCCTACCTAATTACCTAAGGTATGACCAAAAAAGATAAGGTCCTGTAGAATCTGATAATAACATTTAAATCCTTATCAGTATCAGATATCATTTTTTTTTTTTTTTTTTTTTTTGTAGATGTTAAAAAAATCCTTAATTTGTTATTTTTTTATTTTCTTATATTAATGTAATTGTTTATATTTTTACCAGAATTCATCAGTTAGCAGCCACTTAATTGACCATATTAGGTCAAATCAAAGTCCCAAATGTATTTAACTCAAGTTGAGAAGAAGAGAAGAAAATAAATAAATAAAGAGGACACTGGGACTTAACAAAAGCCCAACAAAGGAAACAAAAAGGGAGCTCTAACACTGTCTCCACTACACGCCGAAGCGACATCTCACGGCTTCGACAACCACTCACTCACTCAATTTCGTTTTATAAATTTCAAAAACTTTCTTGTCCTAATCCAAACCCCAACCCAAATCCAATCCAAAAACCCATTTCTCGAAAAATCGAAATCCGTTTTCGTCTTTCTGAATAATCCAAAAAAAAAAAAATAAAAAAATCTTTGAGTTGAATTCAATTCACAATAAATAGAGAAGCGTATGATAGTTGAATCTGTGTTGATTTTTCTTCGTAATTGTAAAAAAGGCAATCCAGCATTTAAGTGGTCTCCTTTTTTCTCTTCATTGTAATTAAATCTTTGGATTTGCTGAGTGCTTAAATTAAGAATAGTAGATACTGTGTGAGTTCACCCTTTCCATAATTCCATTTTTGTGTTCTTGTAATTAAGTTTGTTTATCTTCCATTTTCTCTCAGTTCTTGCTATATTTCTTCTTCTGAATCCTTATCTGTGGCTCCGAAATCAAGATCAAAATTTCAATGTGGTCCACCACTGCTCACTCTAATCTCGACAGTTTCCTTCACCGTATTACGCCCAATCCTCCTTCGCGATCTCTCCCTCAGGTACTGCCATTCTTTCTCTTCTTTTACTCTTTTTGACCTTTTTCTGTTGATTTCTGAAATCAAAATTTCATGTTTCTGTAATTGATTTTACCTTTTATTTTACTCATTATTATTATTATTATTATTATTATTATTATTATCAATGAATGCTTCTTGTTCTCTGATACACTTTGAATCGTTTTCCGGAAGAAGAGTCCATGGTTTAGGAATACAGACAGATTTTATGGTTACTTTTATTAAATTCACTTATTTAACTCTCTATTTTCCTCAATATAAATTAAAAAAAAAAAAAAAAGCCCTGGAACAACGCGGTTTTAGAGGAATAATGCTCTTATTCCTTATACCTGACCTCCCTTAATTATAGTGTAATTACACAAAAAAAATCTCACAGTTTGATAACTATCGCAAGATCAACGGAAATCTAAGTGGAGGTAAGTGATAGCTCTTAATCTATAGGGGTTATTTTAAAATTAGCCCTTTTTTTAATATATCGTTGGATTTTATCTAAAAAAGAATCTACCGGTGGATGTTTATCTGAAAGTTTAGAAAATCGTTAAATTATTATTTTGAATAATAAATTAAAAACGTGAGAGGATAAATATAACGTAGTATTGTACTTCAATAATTTAAGTTAGTGATGGGGTGGGCCTGATCGAGGGCTCATATGTCAATTGGATCAGGCCCACACTTGAAGAAAACAAAATATGGTTTTCAGAAGGTGCCACCGAATATTCTCTCATTTTTAAATTAAAATAATAATATAATTAATATGAAAGTTTAAGTTGTTTGAAGTTGTTAGTTCCTTGTTTCAATTGTGTTCAAATATTTGAGCCATCATAAATTCAAAGAAAGACTCGCTCCATTGGATTGTTTATCCTCATCACGTGGCACCCCATAGCGGTTTGTGTGTTTTGATTATCTTGCTTGCTGTTGTGGCTCTTCTCTAGAAAGGCTAAATTCATGAATGCTACATGATTATCTTGCTTGCTTGACACGTGTATGGTGTACATGTGAATCATGTTATACATTAATGGGTCTCTTCTCTATATTTTAATGAGTAACACTACATTTACTAACACTTCTTACTACCTTTCTCTCACTAACGCCACATATCGGTTCACAATTCGTCAATTCATATGAGTCCCGTCTGTCCAATAATGGGTTCCACCTAATTAAGCCAATCATAAACCCCCACATAGGGTTAATGAGAGAGGTTAGTAAGAGGGATTAGTGAGATTAGTATTATTGTATTTTAATTAGTGATGTCATGTCTACAATTCAATCTCACAACTCTCAACGTGACAACTTGCAGTTGGTCAACTCCTAAATAGGTTCTACCTCTTTATTTGTGAACTGACTAATTAAGAGTTGTCACGTAGGATTGTGGACCTAGGATGATCTTAACTTGTGTAAGGTTAATATTTATTATTATATATGGACACACTGTTAATAGTTTTTATTACTTTAATGGACCATTATGATGATATAATATAAGATAATTTGTATGAAGAGTTTAGATGTATAAAATTATTTATTGAAGTTTTAGTAGTAGAGTTTTACTTTTAATTAGGGGTTGATTTTTCTATTATGGCTAAATGGATGCTGAAAATGAAACTAGGTAACAATGCTAACCATTGGTTAATCTCTGAATGCATGTTATTGCAGTTAAGACTGGAAACAATGCTTGTTCTTGAAGTTTCAAAAGGATCTCTTGGGAGAAATATTATTTTCTGTTACTTTTACAGCATTAGAAATTTACAATTACTATAGTTGAGAATATTAGGTTCATATATTTGCTAACTATTGGCATTTATTTAATCTACATGTATTCCGTTGGACGATTGGTACAAATCCCAGTTTGCAATTTCAAAAATGTTGAATTTTCTTTCTTTGTTTTTCTAAAAAGAATTGGAATTTGCTTTTTGAAATACTGGCAGTGCTGTACTCATGAAATAAAAAGCCAGTGGCAACCACTTGATAAGAACATAGTTGAATATTTCACATTGGGAGATCTCTGGAATTGCTATGATGAATGGAGTGCATATGGTGCCGGCACATCAGTGGTGTTAGATAGTGGTGAGGATGTTATGCAATACTACGTTCCTTACCTGTCCGCCATTCAGATCTACACTAATAAGTCTGTTGCCACTTCCAGGTTCTCAACAAATCTTTTTAATGTTTCGTGTGCCAAATTCGAGTCTTTTTGTGGTGTTGTTAGTAGCAATTAGACTGAACATTCCTGCTATCCTAATGTAGGAATCTAAGAGAGGATACTGAAGTCGCAGAATTTGAAAGCGATTCTGGGAGTGATGATGGTGGGAGTGATAAGCTATCAAGGTCTCTCAGCAATAACTCCAGCAGGACTTGGGATGCCATTTCTGAGGATTCAAGCTTGGACCAGGATGGCTCATGGCCAATGAACAATAAGCTTGGGTACCTTTACTTCCAGTACTTTGAGATGTCTTCTCCTTACTGGAGGGTTCCACTTAGGGAAAAGGTAAACCTTGTTGGCTTTTGTGGCTTAGAATTATTGGTTTTTTCACATCTGTGATAAAATAAATTGTCATTCTTATCAATTTAAATAAATATTAGTTTAAGTTTCTCTTGTGCTGGATAAATTTGATTGTTGAAACAAATGTTTGATTCAGATAACTGAATTAGCTCGGAATCATCCGGGGCTAATGACGCTTAGAAGTGTGGATCTCTCACCAGCAAGTTGGATGGCTGTCGCTTGGTAAGCATGCTTTGCTGTTCCTTTTACATGTTTATTTTTCAGTTAATCTTAGTTTCTTTTTTTGGTGATTTTGCTAATCACTAGTATCCATTGATATAAGAATTCCGCTACTTAGGTTGATGAAGACTTTTATCTTAAGCATATGGTTTGCCTTTTCCGCTTCCTTTATCTGCTTGGCAATTTTCTCTAAGTTCTTCTGTTTGTCATGAGTTGTGCAATATATGCATCTCAAAAGAAAGCTTCATTTTTTATTATATGGATTATTATGCCACAAATTTTATATCCTTGCTAAAATATAAGCGGTACTAGTTCGAAATTACCTATTATAGTCGGGGATGATGAGATGCTATTATTGTCAATTATTTTTCAATCCAAAGAGAAGTTCTTACCCCAATCATTTCTTTTACCTTATCTGAAATTTATTGACTTGAATTATCCGTAAGCTCAAATTTATTGACTTTATATGTCTGCTTAATGAAGTATGTATGCTTGATTTTCATTTACAGGTATCCTATTTATCATATTCCATCAAAGAAAAATGAGAAGGACTTGTCAACATGCTTCCTCTCTTATCATACACTATCTTCATCTTTTCAAGGTATTTTGATTATCTACATAATTCATGGATAACTTATTATGTTTGAATGAAAAATTCAAAGTCTAAATGATTATGTATATATACATNCGTAGGATTGTGGACCTAGGATGATCTTAACTTGTGTAAGGTTAATATTTATTATTATATGTGGACACACTGTTAATAGTTTTTATTACTTTAATGGACCATTATGATGATATAATATAAGATAATTTGTATGAAGAGTTTAGATGTATAAAATTATTTATTGAAGTTTTAGTAGTAGAGTTTTACTTTTAATTAGGGGTTGATTTTTCTGTTATGGCTAAATGGATGCTGAAAATGAAACTAGGTAACAATGCTAACCATTGGTTAATCTCTGAATGCATGTTATTGCAGTTAAGACTGGAAACAATGCTTGTTCTTGAAGTTTCAAAAGGATCTCTTGGGAGAAATATTATTTTCTGTTACTTTTACAGCATTAGAAATTTACAATTACTATAGTTGAGAATATTAGGTTCATATATTTGCTAACTATTGGCATTTATTTAATCTACATGTATTCCGTTGGACGATTGGTACAAATCCCAGTTTGCAATTTCAAAAATGTTGAATTTTCTTTCTTTGTTTTTCTAAAAAGAATTGGAATTTGCTTTTTGAAATACTGGCAGTGCTGTACTCATGAAATAAAAAGCCAGTGGCAACCACTTGATAAGAACATAGTTGAATATTTCACATTGGGAGATCTCTGGAATTGCTATGATGAATGGAGTGCATATGGTGCCGGCACATCAGTGGTGTTAGATAGTGGTGAGGATGTTATGCAATACTACGTTCCTTACCTGTCCGCCATTCAGATCTACACTAATAAGTCTGTTGCCACTTCCAGGTTCTCAACAAATCTTTTTAATGTTTCGTGTGCCAAATTCGAGTCTTTTTGTGGTGTTGTTAGTAGCAATTAGACTGAACATTCCTGCTATCCTAATGTAGGAATCTAAGAGAGGATACTGAAGTCGCAGAATTTGAAAGCGATTCTGGGAGTGATGATGGTGGGAGTGATAAGCTATCAAGGTCTCTCAGCAATAACTCCAGCAGGACTTGGGATGCCATTTCTGAGGATTCAAGCTTGGACCAGGATGGCTCATGGCCAATGAACAATAAGCTTGGGTACCTTTACTTCCAGTACTTTGAGATGTCTTCTCCTTACTGGAGGGTTCCACTTAGGGAAAAGGTAAACCTTGTTGGCTTTTGTGGCTTAGAATTATTGGTTTTTTCACATCTGTGATAAAATAAATTGTCATTCTTATCAATTTAAATAAATATTAGTTTAAGTTTCTCTTGTGCTGGATAAATTTGATTGTTGAAACAAATGTTTGATTCAGATAACTGAATTAGCTCGGAATCATCCGGGGCTAATGACGCTTAGAAGTGTGGATCTCTCACCAGCAAGTTGGATGGCTGTCGCTTGGTAAGCATGCTTTGCTGTTCCTTTTACATGTTTATTTTTCAGTTAATCTTAGTTTCTTTTTTTGGTGATTTTGCTAATCACTAGTATCCATTGATATAAGAATTCCGCTACTTAGGTTGATGAAGACTTTTATCTTAAGCATATGGTTTGCCTTTTCCGCTTCCTTTATCTGCTTGGCAATTTTCTCTAAGTTCTTCTGTTTGTCATGAGTTGTGCAATATATGCATCTCAAAAGAAAGCTTCATTTTTTATTATATGGATTATTATGCCACAAATTTTATATCCTTGCTAAAATATAAGCGGTACTAGTTCGAAATTACCTATTATAGTCGGGGATGATGAGATGCTATTATTGTCAATTATTTTTCAATCCAAAGAGAAGTTCTTACCCCAATCATTTCTTTTACCTTATCTGAAATTTATTGACTTGAATTATCCGTAAGCTCAAATTTATTGACTTTATATGTCTGCTTAATGAAGTATGTATGCTTGATTTTCATTTACAGGTATCCTATTTATCATATTCCATCAAAGAAAAATGAGAAGGACTTGTCAACATGCTTCCTCTCTTATCATACACTATCTTCATCTTTTCAAGGTATTTTGATTATCTACATAATTCATGGATAACTTATTATGTTTGAATGAAAAATTCAAAGTCTAAATGATTATGTATATATACATCAGTCTATTTTTTTCACTCCATCTTAGAAGGTTTTTTTTTTTTTTTTTTTTTTTTTTTTTTTTTGCCTGACATGATTCTGCAGATAGTGCAGTTGAGCATGATGATAACACAGGTAATGCATACTCTGAATTGGGAGAAAAAACAGAGGGTAAACCAAAAGGCGAAGGAAGCGGAAGGGTTTCCCTCACTCCCTTTGGGCTAGCTTCTTATAAAATGCAAGGAGATATTTGGGTAAACCCAAATACATGTGACCAAGAAAGGCTAATCGATCTTCATTGTGCCGCAGATTCCTGGTTGAAGCAGCTGAACGTCTACCATCATGATTTCAGCTTTTTCACTCACCACTGTAACTTGTAAATCAGTATGTTTTCTTGACCTTCCTCATCCTTTAGCTTTTGTTCAGTTATCACCAGCAGCCTCCATGTGAGACGTGCTGCAGTTTTGAAAACAAACATTCAGTAACTTAGAGCATTGATACAAGCTTTTCACTATGCTCTATGGATAGCCCTGAAAGTGACGATGTTGTAATTATATCAAAACATTGGCTAGCTCCAAATGTTTTTAAGGGTTTTTTTGAGTTTGGTGTTTATTTACTTAGGAGTCAGCCTTATAACTTTTCCCTTTGCTAACTTCTGTAATTTCCCTTTCGCTCATGTTTCCTGAGGTTAGTCTGTGCAGATAGTTTGTGAGTCTGCGTTGTATGGACTAAGAACAAGTTTAATAGAAGCATATGACATGTTTTTCGTTAGCTAAGGCGTGTTTAAAATTAAAATATGAATGTTTACGTTGATGGGTTTAGATATATGTTTGAGGTCCATTGAATACTTATTTGTCCTTTTGAGATAATCTAGTGTGAATGAATGAATGTGCAGAACGCAGATATAGAAATGGTTATTTTATTGGAAAAAAGTAGATTAAAATATAAATCCAAACTTACTAATTTTTATATAGGCTTGGCTGCTTAACTAATACGATTACATCTTATATTATATTAATTTATGGAGCACAAAATCCAAATTTGATTCGAGGTTGAACAACCTTTACCAAGAAAAGGACAAAATATTTCTCTTAGCCGTGGCAAAACCAAACCTCGTATTTGTGCCTCACATATATAAAAATAATTAATTATTTTTGCTTCTTCCCATATGAACATAATTTTAACAGCTTTTGGAAGGTCCCAGTGTTATATTCTATCTTATATTTTAAGTATTGTAATCCAATCTTATATTTTATTCCATCAATTAATGTGATAGCTGTTAGAAATACAAAATAAAATAGCTGAGTTTATATTATATTATTTCATTGAAAAAAGTAAAACATGAAAATGACTAATTCTACTAGAGATGTCGGTGACATGTCACACTTAATTAGCAAACAACATGTTCCCACCCAAGGTATAGCAAAATGACAAGTTTCCACCATCAAGTTTTAAAATGACACATTTCCGCCCGTGTTAAAAGCCGTTTGTCAAGTTTAATTGAAGAAAGACATAAAGTAAACTCAAAAAACAGTCTAAAGATAATTATGTTATTTTATCCCTTATATATAAACTAAGAAAAAAACAGACCAATTGGTCAAAAATTAAAGCACCCATTGTCTGGTTCACCCTCCCAATCGTCTTCCTTACTTCCCCTTACCGTTTTCACGCTGTAGCTACCCATCATTGTCGCCGCAGAACCGATCATGTGACTGATTGGATATTGCGCGATTAGCCACTTCCCCTATCTTGTCCACCTTGCCACTTGCACACATGTCGCCTCCACCATACGTCCCATATTGCCATAGCCCACACACCACCACCCCAACCTCACACGACCCCCCGACTGTTGTTTGATTGTTGGCCATTTGGTTGATTGTGATTTGGAGTTTGTTTGATTTGGCTGATTAATTGGAGTTTGGTTGATTGTTATTTGAAGTGTTTTATTTGTTTGAATGATGACTCATCCCTAACTACCACCTTTTGGTCGGAATCGCACTAGGTCGAGTGCGATTTTGTCTGGTGTGATTATGGCCGAATCGCATCCAACCAACTCCTTTTTTTTATTTTGATGATGTTGTTTTGTGTTGACTTAGATAAGGGTGAAGATTTTGTGTGATAAGATTATGGTGAGAAGAGAAGGGAGAGAAAAAGAGAAGAGAAGAAAGAAGAAAGGTAAAAAAAACAAAAGAGAAGAAGAAGAGAAAATAATAATTTCGTCTTTACACTATTTATATTATGTCAAAGAACAGATTTTCGTAACAAAAAATAACAATAGATGAAAAAATATCATTCTAAAAGTTGACAGATGGAAAAAGTGTCGGTTTAAAACCCGCTTGACCTTGCGTGGGAAGACGTCGTTTGCTCTTATTCAAAATTAAATTTGATTAAGTACTAATGCGGTAATGCCATGTAATTTTGTTTTAGAAGGGTCCTATGATTAATTAATTAATTAATTAATATAAAAAAGGTGTAAAAAGAGAGTGAGGTGGCAAAGTAACGGAGGAGAAAGAAAGTAGAGTAGATAAATAACGGTTCCAAAATTTCCTAATTTCAACAACGAAACCAAAACGCGGTTTCCGTTTGCTTTCAATTTCTATACTTGTAATATAAGTAATTAATTTGATTCTAATCTTCATTACCAAAGCACCTGATTCCTTCCCCCACTACCTAAAGTAGAGGAATTTCATTTCCTTTCCATTCGTACTTCATCTCCCTCAGTAGTAAGATCAAGATCACCATCACCATCATCATCAATTCAAAGATCAGAGATGTTACTGTTCTTTATTGGGTTAATTCTTGGCGCGATTTCTATACTGGGTTTAGAAGCTGCGGCGGTTTTTTATCTTATTAATCGACTTACTGAAAAAGCCAGAGCCAAATCTTCGAAGCAGTCTGCTCAAGTTCTTGATTCTCAACAGTCGCTTGATTTTGCTTACAATAAACAGGTATTGCTTTTGTTTGCTTTTTAGTTTACCCCACAACTTAATTTGATTTTGCTGCTACCGGCGAGGCTATGAATTGTAAGAAAAATCTCATTTAGTAGAATTAAACAGGTTCCATTTTGGCTTGGCATTTACTGGAGAATGTGAGAAAATTAGGAAAAATTACTGAAAGTGGAGGGAAGGTAATGAATCCTGAAAGTTTTTAAGTAGTTGTAAGACTTAGTAATCCCCTTTTTCGTGTTTGGTTGGAGATTAGGAGAACCTGCCAGAAGTGGAAAGAATATATTGAATCCTGAAAGTTCTTAAATAGTTGTAAGAATTAGTGATTTACTTTTCATGTTTGGTTGGAGAGAAAATGAGGGAAGATTACTAGAATTGGAGAGAACGTAATGAATTGAGAAAGTTGTCAAGTAGTTTTTAGACTAGTAATCCACCTTTTCATGTTTGTTTGGTTGTAGAGAAAATTAGGAATAATATTACCAGAAGTGGAGAGAACATAATGAATCCAGAAAGTTGTCAAGTAGTTTTAAGACTTAATAATCCTCTTTTTCATGTTTAGTCGGTAAATTAAAAGAAGTTAATAGAAGTTGAGGGAAAACAGTTTTTTTTAAGTAGTTATAAAATTTAGTAATCCACTTTTTTGTTTTGGTAGGAGAGAAAAATAGGAATAATTACTAGAAGTAGAGAGAATGTAATGAATCCAGAAAGTCAAACAATTATAATACTTTAGTGATCCACTTTTTTCCACTTAAGAGGTATTTATATGTTATAAAGGAGGGAGCAAATGAAATTAGTTGTTTTTGTTATTAATTTGTGTTTTTTATTTGCTAGTTTAATTCTATGTGTATCAGGGGTTTGTTTGGGTTCTGGAATCAGAGAAACTTCCCAAAGATAAGTTACCAAAAGAACCAAAGAGGAAAAAGGATACCTTGGAAGTTTATCCCGTTCGCAAATATGCAAAAATCAAGGATCAAACCCTTCTTTTGAAGGAATCTGATGGTTCCCAGACAGCTATTCCACTCAAAGGTTGTGTAATAGAAGCTGTTTCAGCCTCAACTCTACCGTCAAGAAAATGGTAACATGGTGGTTGTATTAAGTGCTTTTATTTTATTGCTTATTATTTTAGATCATTAAATTTTTAATCATCTTTACTTTTCCATTATGATTAGACCAAGGTTGAGTGCCCCTTTTTTATCCTGAACTTTGTTTGGATTGTTACACTGAGGATTGATTAAGAATATGTTACTTAGAAAATGTTACAAGGTTCCTGCTTCCCAAAGTTGTAGGGCTCAGTAGGAGACCCAGTTATGAGGTCAAGTGTCATCTCTTGATGGCTTCTGGACTTCACCCTATCTCAGTGGCAAATATAGTTAGAAAATTGTTTTCAATTTCATGGCAAGGAACCACTGGAGAAAGCATTGCACTGTAACCCAATGTTCATGTTATTAATAATGTCTGTTAAAGAAGATTCTGTTTCTTTGCGTACTTGAAAATGGTTGCTGAATTTGGAAGTTTCTAAGCAATGTCAATTTGTCTTAACTTATTTCTCTCAGATACCCATTACTGTTGTTTGAACCATTTCTTATGACTCATATTTTGCTTGGGGAAGAGGCCAATATATTTATTATTTTCAGTTTTTGCTTTAACGTTACTTTTATGCTATTTTTCTCTTTCACAAATTCTTAATTGGTATTCAATAAGTGAGGAATAGTCATAGTTCTTCTCTAGATGAAAACTATGACCTTTGTTCTGACACGATTAATTATGTTTTCTGCAGGGCCAAAAGGTTTCCTATAAAAGTTGAAAGGAAGACCTCAGTAATATACAATTTGAGTAAAACAATTTACATTTACCTTGACACTTCCTGGGAGAAGGAGTCATGGTGTAAAGCCCTCCGTCTTGCTTCATGTGATGACAAGAAAAGGCTAGAGTGGTGCGCCAAGTTGAATGAAGAATTCCACAGTTACCTTACCTCCCTAAACACAGGATATCCTTCATTTATGAAACCCTCAATGGGTTTGACTGCTGAGCCATCCTCATTGGGTGCCATTGGGGAGCCAATTGATAGGTCTGGTAGGTTTGATAGTTCTTCGTCAAAGGTTCGACTCCTTTGGAAAAAATTTGCCAAAAAGGCTTCAAAGCCTTCTGTGGAAAACAAGCCACTTTCTTCATACTCAGGCCGTGAAGAGAGAAAGGTTTATGATAAATTACGTCCATCCCAAGATTCCGTTTTGGCTGCTAGCTCTGCAAAATCCGGAACAACAAAGGTGCCAAACAATTCTGGAGAAGAAAATGCTGAACCGTTGTCATCAATGTTTCGTCATTCGGGAAGCCAGAGTCAAATTTCTGGTCTCTCTGACACAGAGTCTGATGACAAAATTATTACAGATGAGGGAACTCTCTGCTGGAATTTATTGATCTTTCGGCTTTTTTTTGATGCCAAAAGCCACCTGGGAATGAAAAGTTCCCTTCAGGCACGAATTCAGGTATGTTATTTTCCAAAATAACATCTGTACTATGTGTTTGTTTGCACGATTGTTTATAGTGCCTGGAAAGATATCTTTTTTGCCATTATGTGACAATTTTGCGGATAAGTTGGTTAACTAGATTATACTCTCAAAGGGATGAAAAATTACTCATCTTCCAATGCTTGGTATAGCTTTTGTCTACATATTTTTTATGTTGTCAAATGATTAATATTTCGTTGTGTCTATCTGTATCCATTGCATATTTATTCGTGCAAGTGGCAAAATGTTGTCTCATTGATTGTAATAAATTATTTTGAAATCTATGTGGCTTTTCTTTGCATTTTAAATGTCGATGTGAGTCTGATACTTATTGTTGTAACAGAAAACATTGTCGAATATGAGAACCCCCAGTTACATTGGTGAAATCATCTGTACAGGAATTGACATTGGGAATCTTCCGCCTCATATCCATGGTATGAGGGTTCTTCCCATGGACATGCATGAAGTATGGGCCTTCGAAGTTGACTTTGAATATTCTGGTGGAGTGGTATTAGATGTTGAAACAAGACTTGAAGTCCGCGAATTAGATGCAAATTCAGAATCAAGTTCAGTCAGGGATGTTTCTTCAGACCTTCTTGAAGGTTTTGAATATTATGGTAAACAGTTGAATATTTCTGAAGTGAATATTGATGAACAAGTCCAAAAGGGTAAAGAGGATCCTAAACTTGGTTAGTATGAATACACACACACACACACACACACACACACACACATTTCGCTTTCCCGACATATCATTTAAAAGATTTGAATGTGATGCATGCTGTGCTGTTTTATATTGAAGCTTACTACTGACTCTCATATGAAATAGTGTTTGGAGTTGAGGATATAAAGTTCGATTTAGGAAGTTGTTATCTGGATAAGTTATTTTTGTGGAAAGTAAGATCAACTTATTAGGTATCTAATTAGGAAGTAATTTTGTGGAATTTGAAACTTTTGGTTGATGAAAGGTTTCATTACTTATTGTTGGATTATTGATGAGGAAATCTTTGGAGCCTTCACAGGGTACAATGGTTAGAAGAATATTTAATTTCATGTGTGGACATAAAATCATGCTCTTTTCATGGTACCGGGTATCAGTTTACTGGGTGGTTGCTTTGATCTACTGACTCATGTAATACACGATGTCTTTCCTTGAGTCGAAATTTTACATGGCCCCCTTGCTGCAAGTGTCAGTATGAAAATTTTCAGTACTATGGTTTCTCCAGCATTTCTTCATACCACAGCTGTAAAAACATGGTCTCTAGCATTATGAAACTGGTCTACTTTTTTCCACTTTCTCACCACCACCACAGTACATAAAAAAGTAAAAAAAAAAAAAAAAAAAAAAAAAAAAATGACACGAACTCACCTTGTACAAAGTTAAGCTAGTTCGTCTGCTGAACAACAAGAATTACACCTAAACCTAACATTCATAAAATGCCGAAGCTTCGAGACTATAAGCTGGATGAGTGAATTATGAGAAAGTCAGGTTCGAGAGGAGAACAAACATTTTCGTAATTTTCTATCTATATATATGTATATATTTTTTCATACTGGTGACCGTATCAATATGGCTGACTTATGATTATAGTTTGTCCACCTTTTAGATTCAGCTTTTATCCTTGCCGCATCATTAGAAAATATTCAATTTTTATTCTTAGACTCTCTTTTGTTACAGATGGCTTGAAAAACAACAAAAGCACTATGTTGGCAGCAACTCCGGTGTCAAGGTGGAATTGTATTCTGAATTCTATAGCCAAACAGGTTTCTCAGGTTTGTAAACAATTTTTTTCTCTTGCATTTGTTTTCAATTGACAGACCCAAATATACCATACATATTTTCTAATGAAGTTATTTATTTATTACATTAACTCTCTGTATATGTATAATAATTACCTTAAATCAAAGAGACTATAGCAGGCTTATAACCTTTGGCTCTAAAGGTGATGTGGAAGGTCAGTGTGTGATTTGATCTTGTCTACATGCACAACACTGAAAGAAAAAAAGAATAATGGAAAACAAAATTAGGCCTATAACCTTTTCAAGGAACCTGTTTATATATTTCTATGGATATATTTTGTAATGGTCCTTTTTATCTGTACTGCTAAAAGTTGATTTCATTTGCATTTGAACAAAATAATGTCAGTTTTGGCTGAGCATATGAGGTGACTGTAGAAATCAGTTATTATGTGTAACTAAAACTAAAAACTTCATATAGAATCAAACAAAGATCATTATGTGATTATTGGATGGACCTGTTTGTACTCCATTTCAGGACGGATGGAGGAAGAGATTGCTTCATATGAATTAATGTTTTATTAAATGGTGTTCTTTGTTATGATTTGAACATGTCTTTATTTGTGGGCTCTTTGTTGTTTAGGTTGAATCAACTAATCAATCTCTGAAGGCAAACTTTTACTGTCATACTGACTGATTTTTCACATTGAAGGTGCCTCTCTCTTTGTCCATACGGGTTGCATCCCTTCAGGGAACAGTGCGTTTACATATAAAGCCGCCACCTTCTGATCAATTATGGTTTGGTTTTACGTCCATGCCTGATATAGAGTTCGATCTGGAGTCTGGTGTTGGGGATCACAAGATTACTAGTGGACACATAGCTCTTTTCCTGATTAACCGCTTTAAGGTATATATCGCTTTTATCGTGTACACTATCTGATTTTCATTAGGTTTCTTTATACTCTGTAAGCACCCTCAAGGAAACTCATACATTTAGGCATTGTGTTTTTTACCTCGTCCCTAACATTCACCTTTACCCTCACTCTCATCTGCATCCTCACCCCTTCCTGCTCTTGTTTTGTTTGATTTTTATAAATGACCTAGTTGCATATGGTATCTAAAAAAGCAGCTGTGTAGTGAAAAGCAATCTCTAAGTTGGAATTTTTCTTCTAAAGCAATTACTCAAAGCTCTAAACTTTCATGTAATTATAAGATGTGCATTTCCAAACACTGAAACATGCTGAACCACCAATAAAAAATTCCATTTCTATGGTTATAATCATTTTCTAAATATTAGAGGAGCCATTTGCTAAATGCTAATAATAGTAATAGCAAGGAAGACACTGTGGATACATGATCCCCCAGGACTTCTTAAGTAAAGATTATGATTTCCTAGTATTAATTTGTGTGTGGAGAATACAGCCAGTTTTATTAGCGTTCTCTTCTGCTTGAACATAACAGTAGTAGAATTCAGTTGGTAATGATAATAAGCTATGGCTGATGTTGATTTCATTTGTGTAGGCAGGGATCCGGGAAACTATGGTGCTTCCAAACTGTGAAAGTGTATGCATTCCATGGATGTTAGCAGAGAAGGATGACTGGGTCCCAAGGAGTGTTGCTCCATTTATACGGCTTAGTCAAGAAGCCAGTAGTGATCATACCAGTGCATCTGAGTCTTTCATTTCCCAAAGCGGGGAAGAAAAAACCAAGACAGCTACCAAAGCAACATCAATTGATCACCCAGAAAGCAAGCATCAAAATCCGAAGAACATAGATTGCATTCAACAGTCATCGACTGTCCCTAGAATTGTGTCGATGCCCTCAACAACCTCCGCCGTTTCATCTATACTGAATAACAAGTCTTTACAAGAACTAAGAACTCCTTTGCTGGAAAGTGATGAGGTGCAGGAAACAGACCAACAGAAAAAAGAGGAAATCCCAGACTGTCAATCATCACCCAGGTCTTTGCCCCTGCTAGAAAAACTAAGTAGTGCAGTTGATGAGGATGATTCGAGGCCAAAGAAAGGAGGGAGAAAGGCAAGGATGCTTGATCTTGGGAAGAAGATGGGGGAGAAACTTGAAGAGAAAAGGCGTCACATCGAAGAAAAGAGTAGGCACATTGTTGAGAAGATGAGAGGACCATGAATCAGTTGGCAAAAACTATTGTTGGAAGCAGAAATGCAAGGCATCAGAATAGGTGCGTTGATGTTTTATGCTACTCTTCAGATGCTTGGACCCTTGAATATAGGATTTATAACTCTTGCTTGCAGACCAAGAATCCATGCATTCAGAGATCACGGGGATGGGGCTTAGGGATTACAGTTTAGAATAAAGTGTATTTGATACGTAGAAACTCTATAAAACCTTGTTTACACTGTAAAAGTAAAGAAATTTTTTTTGACTCTTGATTAATGAATGCCAATTGCCATTTTTTCATGTGAAGAACTTTTTTTCTTGTATAACACTTCATCTATTTTCATTGATAACATGTTAATTTTGTCCAAGCTGCTCATAACGTTAGTATGGCTTTTGGATTTAACTCTCTCTGCTTAGTAATCCCAATTCACATTGCAATGCCAATTTAGCTCAAATGGAGAATCCAAAGAAAACCCTCTTCACTCAACTTCAAATCCTGAAAATATTTTATCCATATGTTTGGAAAGATTGGATTTTGGATTTTGACCAAACAAATAAAAAAAAAAAGGAATGTAATTAAATTTCATAAATACAAAAAATAATTGAAAAAAACAAAAATGAGCTAGTAGGAGCAGAAATAGAGACTCAGAGTCGGCTTTGAGCAGACAACTTGAAAGTGAAACCTTGAGAGCCCGACTCAAAGCCTGAAATCACAGCCTCATTAAGAGAGAGAGAGAGAGAGAGAGAGAGAGAGAGAGAGAGAATTATCATTTTCAACCACCTGAATCTAAAGAGCGTAAGTGTACTTAAACCCCAGAAAAAATATTCAAATTTGAACAAGTATGGAGGCTCAGATTCGCCTTTTATCAGACAAAGGTTGAAACTTTTACCACAATGGCTGCAGCAACAAGCATTTTTCAAAAATACCTAGAAGCTGCCTCGCCATGATGTGCAAAGACTTCCCACCGTCTGATCATTTGACTTAGACAACATCGTCATCATCACAGCCTCATCACAGAGAAAGAGAGAGAAAGAGAAACAGGGTGTTTCTTTGTTTGGTTTGCAATGTTCCCTTCAGCAGAGACTACTTATGTTGCTGTAGAGGTCAACCTCGCCGGGAAGGTTACATATTGGCATTGGCTCTTGGTAGTGGGCATGGTTGTTACAATCCTATGATACCCGATACGTATCATACGATACGATTTGATATAGGTCGTCAACGATACGTATCAGAGAGTGTATCCTAAATTATTCGATACGTTGATATGTATCCTACGATACGATACGTATCCGTTCGTATCCTTAAAAATATTGATATAAATCAATACGACTTTATTAATTTGGGCCAAAGGTTAAAAAAAAAATTCGGGGGAAAACCGGGTCACCCAACCCGATTCACTAAAATCTGTCCAAATTTACCTATTTTGCATGAAGAAAGTGAAGAGGAGTATGTATTGCCCATTTTACATGATAATAATAATATAAGTGGAGATATAAGTATTGACATTGATCTTGGAATTTTGTGATTAATTTTGATTATGTAATATCGTAATTTAAAGTCAATAATACCCCAAAATTCTTTAATTAATCTTGGGGATTGTATTAATTTTTAGAAAATTTTGATTATTTTATTAATTTTTTAAAAAAAGGCGTATCTTACGATACGATACGATACGTGATACACGATTCAAAAAATTAGGTTTTCGATACACGATACGATACACGATTTGATAACCATGGTAGTGGGTACAACGATATTTCAAAGAAACCTTGATACTTTTGTAAACCCCTATAAGTTTACCTCATATCAAATAAACGCCTAGTCTTTTACCTTCCACTTCAAGCCATAAGTTTTTCCGTGCATCAAAGAAACCCCTAAGGTTTTACCGTCGTCTCTAGAAACCCCGTAGTTATACCTTGTAGGTCATAAAGCCCTATACTGTTAGCCTATATTACATGATCCTCTTTAATTAAATTAATTTTATCATGTATCCAGAGACCCCTATAGTTATACACAGTATAGTAGCCCCTGTTATAGTCTTTTAGATGAACCCCTATAGTTTTACTCCGCACCTATAATTCTCCATAGTTTTACGCTACTTATAAACCCTATATCTTTACTACCTTTTCTAAACCCCTATAGCTTTACGATGTATCAGATGAACCCTTATGTTTTTACTTTGCCTTTTCAGTTTCGTGTTCTATTATCATTTCGATGATTTATGAAACCCCTATACTTTTTCAGTGATGCTAGGCTTACCGACCCAGGACCGATTTGACATACTGACTGTGAGTTAATTTTTGAGATTTGGTTTGTTAGGTAGTGAGTCAGTATATAAAAATCGGTATTTGGGTCGGTAAATATAGTATTACTGATACTTTTTACGCTCTTCATACACGTAGACCTAGAGTTTGATGATCTATTTCACTATTAGTTTGACGTTCTGTTTAATATCCAGAATCTTAATATTTCAAAATATTGACAAAAAAAGAGTTGAATTTCTATGACAAACTTAGGGAGCTAAATTTTATCCAATTTCTTTCGCTACTTCTGTAAAATAACAAAGAAAAGAAATGCAGATAACAAGTTATTACCAAAGCCAGTACTTCTTCTTTAAATTCTGAAATGCGAAAGAACTTCATCAAGATAGACGGCTAGCCTACCACTTCATCAACATGCTCGCTCTATTCAATTCAGAGAAAATGGAATGTAGTAAACATATAGAAATGCACCAAATTTACTACTCTGTTCGTTGCATGCCCAAAAAGCCAATTTTCATTATATATATTAAGTGGAAGAATTTTGTTTTGTTGGGCAAATAAAAACTGAATTTTGTGGCCAATGTGCAAAGCCAAATTGGTTTTTTCTTTCTTTCATTGCTTTATGAGAGTTTGGTTGTTAGTAGCAGTTGATTCAATTTCATTTTCAGTTTTTAACTTTTAGAACTGAATCTGTAAAGTCTCTTGATAAATAAGCCTGATAATATACATCTCATAAATAAATTGACATGGTACCTTTTGACAGCTTATCAACCCGAATTTCAATTAAGAACACAATTACATAAACAGAAACCATCAAAGAGAATTAAAACCCCAGCAAACAGAAAAGCTGGAGACTACTGTGTACAAGCTGAAAATCAGTACACTATTACCAAGAAACATAAGATGGCTTCTATTTTACTGATTATAACTTTCAAAATCATTTTCAAAATAAACAAATCTATTTTACTTATTTTTTAGTACTTTTATAATTCAAATAGGAACATAGAAATGTTTATACTTCAAAGTTATGACAAGTCTGTGTCTGTTTTCGCAGCATACCCTGCCTCTAATATTATAACATTTAGATCCTCTAAGGTCTTGTAGATTTCAACCGACTGGTGATGGGATTGATCTCCAGCAACAAATACATAGACACAGCCATCCATCTCAACCTGGCTCCAACCAGCTTCTTTTACTAATTGTTTATCATTTATCAAGCCTCTTGCTGTAGCTGCCTCTTTCCACTTGCCCACGGATGTATACAAATTTGCCATTAAAACATAATTGCCGGTACTTAGAGGGCTTAAATTTTTCAACTTTCTAGCTGCAAGTTTTCCCAGCTCAATGTTGCTATGTTTCCTGCATGCACTAAGTAATGGAGCCCATACTTGAGCTTGTTCTTGGACAGGTATCTCTTGAATTGTTTTCAAAGCCAAATCAAACTGACCAGCTCTGCCAAGAAGATCTACCAAGCATGCATAATGCTCTATGCTGGGTTCTATTCCATACTCATCCTGCATACTTCGAAAATACCTCAATCCATCTTCGACCAATCCGGAATGGCTGCACACCGATAATAAGCTTGTGCAAACCGCAGCATCTGGCTTTATACCTTCTACTTGTTGCATCTTATGAAAGAGACTAAAAGCCTTATCTCCCATCCCATGAATGGCATAGCCATTTATCATAGCACCCCAAACAGCCAAGTCTTTATCTGTCACCCTCTCAAACACTTCTTCTGCCTTGTTTATGCTTCCACATTTGGAGAACATATGTATCAAAGAGGTCAGAACTTGCCTACTAGACTCTAGCCTGTTTACCAAAATGTACTCTTCAATCTCCTTTCCCATGGCAAGTGATCCTAAATCAGCACAAGCTGAAAGTACTGTAGCCATGGTTGCTTCATTGGGTCTAACGGATGTCTTCAACAACCTTTTAAACAGATTCAATGCCTCAGCAGGATAACCCAACTGAGCATACCCTCCAATCATGGACGTCCACAAGAACACATTTTTCTCCTGTACCATATCAAATACTCTTTGCGAAGACTCAAGGTCACCACATCTTGTATACATGCTGACCAGCAAATTGTCAATGGGATCTTTATCCTCGCATCCACATTTCAGTACAAGAGAATGAACCAACGAAGCTAACAACAAATTCCCTTCTTGTGAACAACCCGAAATGAGTTTCAGAAACACTATTAAGTCTGGTTTCAGACTAGTTCTTCTCATTTGGTTGAACACACCAAATGCTTCACCAACTTTCCCAATATTCACAAACCCACCAATAATTATTGCCCATGAAATATTGGAACTTTCTCCCATTCCATTAAAGACCAAACGCGCTTCATCAAGTCGACCAAATTTAACATACATTTTCATAACAGAGTTAGCTAAAGGTATCTCATTACTCAACAGTCCGAGTTTAAATACGCAACAATGTATTGATAAGCCTTGTCCAAGAACACTACAACTAGACACAACATTTACAAATGTAGAAGCACTTAGTTCCAAACCAAGAACCCAAATTTCTTTTAACATCAAAACCGCTTCATCAACTAGAGAAGCACGAGAATAAGAAGAAATCATAGAGTTCCAAGACACGAGGGTTCTAAAGGGCATTTCATCAAACACTTTTCTTGAAGCTTGAAGATTGGAGCATTTGGAGTACATATCAATGAGAGCCGTTTGAACAAAGGGGTCTAGTTGAAATCCCAGTTGAAGGACATGGGAATGAAGCAAAGTGCCGAGGCGTAAAGAGTTGATATTAGCACAAGCTTTGAGGAGCAAAGGGAAAGTGTAGATGTTGGCATGAACTCCGGTTTGTAACATGGAAGAGTAAATGTTTAAAGAGTGTGTAAAGAAGCCGTTGTTGGTAGAGTCACGGATCATCAAGTTCCATTTGTGCAAGGATCTTTTGAGGTGTAGCATTTTCACTCTGTAATCTAAGCAAAGTTCCAACTTTTCTTACGATTTGAAGAGCAAAGAGAAAGGGAGCTTTGGTCCACCTGTAGACAAAGAACACTTAAATGGTTTAAAACCGACTCACTGAAATTTTTTAAATCATTGAAATATCCATGGGCCCCGTTTGGTTCAAAATTTGGGGGTTTTGGGAAAAGTTTTCTTAAAAAAGTTAAAAAAAAGTTGAATTAGACGGGCATTACGATGTAGGATTTATAAATTAATAAAATACCCCCTATATTTGTTTATTTACAAAACACCCCCTATAATAAAATCTTAAAAGTTAACAAAAACACCCCCAACCCAATGTCAAATACGGACAGCCGGCCACCACCGCCCGCCGGAGGTGGTCGGGTTCACCGTATGGTGCATGACCGGCGGATCTTGCCGGTCGTGCGCCGATATGGCCTTTGCCGCCAGATCCACGGTGGATTTGGCCGACAAAGCCAGATCTACGGCCAGATCTGGCCGATTTGCTTATCAACGACGACCAATAAACGGTCGTCGTTGATGGTCAACGACGACCGTTTGTTGGCCGTGATTGAGCTGAAAGGCAATATAGGGTCTTCTGCCGATGTAGACCTTTAAATCAAGCTAAAATTACTAAGGGTCCAGTTCTGTTGTTGAATTTGACTCTTCTTAAGAAAATGAACTACAAATTGTTTTCTCTGATTCTTCTAAAAAGCAATTCAAGTTTGATTTTGTGTTTAAGCCCGAGGATAATCAAGGTAATCCCTGATCTCATGAATGATTTTACAATGCAAAGCAATTGCTATAATGGATATTGAACTGTTTAAATATTTAATCCTGGGTTTCTAATATATGCAGAGGCTGCTTTTGCACAAGCTAAACCTATTGTGACTTCAGTACTGGATGGCTATAATGTCTGCATATTTGCATATGGACAAACAAACTGGGAAGACATTTACAATGAAGGGTACACCTGAAAATATAGGATGAACTACAGGACTTTAGAGGAGTTGTTTCATATTTCCAAAGACAGAACTGGTGTCATGAGATATGAGCTATTTGTTAGCATGTTGGAGGTTTACAATGAGAAGATAAGGGACCTTTTAGTTGAAAACTCTAACCAACCTTCTAAGAATGTTTTTTCTTGAATATTGGATTATGTATTAGTTTATTTTAGTTGATATTTATAGTTTATTGACTTGTTTTGTTTGTTTATGTATAATTGTGTATTAATGATTATGTATTTGTTTATTTTGGTTGGTATTTGTAGTTTTGTATTATATGTTATTGTTTGTTTATTTGTTATTTGTTTATTTTGGTTCCTATTTGTTTGTATTCTAAATTGAATTGTATTTAGAGTACTTGATTTAGGGGGTGTAAATGTAAAAAATTAAAATTGTAGGAATTTTGGGGGTGTAACTGTTATAATTGAAAATTGTTAGGAGTGAAAAAAATTAAAATCTGGAGAGAGAAAAAACGGGTACCCGTGGTCCACCGTACCCGTATAGGGTAGGGTACGGGTCTAATATGTTGAACCTGTATCACGTCTGTACCCGTTCCGACCCGACCCGACCCGTACCACCCGCTCGTTTTGCCGGGTCTACTTACCTATAACTCATAATAATCCATAAATAAATAAGTAAATTGTTTCTGACCTCCCACAAATCTCTTGCTTCGGCCACAGTTGATGAATTAAGCCCAATATCAGCCCCATTAGCAGTGACATTAGCTGTAGAAGAACCTCTATTCCATAGTACTAGGCCTATTTTATTACCACTCAAAGCCCCTGCCCAAACCTACAATAATAATATTTTTTTCCATTTGTGTAAGCTGAATCTTTTACTAATAACAATGAATGATAAAGATATAATTATTAATTCTTAAAAGAAAATTAATTAAATTGAAATAAAAGATATAGACGTATATATCTTAATCTCACCATTCGCATAGTAAAAAAAAGATGGGTCTTCTTGAATTTAATAATGTTTTACTCATTATTGGATACTTGTTCGAAATACAAGATTATTAAATATTCTTTTGATTAAGTAATTTAATTATTTAAATCTTATATTATACCTTTCCTTAGGACTTGTACCCGTGTTTTCGCAATTATCATACTTCAAGAAGTCAATTCCCTGTGTAAGTTAATTAAACAAAATTAATGCTATGCAAAACGTAATTAAATCAATATTAATCCCTAAACGTAATTAAACAAAATTAATGCTATGCAAAACAACATTGATATTACTATATTCATTAGCGTTTTAAGATTGTTTCTTGACAATTTTTTTTACCTCGAATATTAATTTTTGAATAACATTATATAAATATATATATTAACTTTTTATATAAATTGACGTGTTATAATATGATTGGATGACTTTAATTTAAAGATAAATTAAAAAAAAAAAGAAATAATATGTCAAACATGTATGATTGCCAGGTCACTTTATACATAATAGTTTATATAATTAGTTTATACACGTTATTTACTAGGTTTCAATTAAGAAAAGATTCAATTTATTATAAATATTTGATAGTTCAAAGAGGAGCATTAAGGCCTATCATATAGTGCCAGGCCCATAAAAGTTCTTTTCATGACATATGTAGCCCAGAAGGAGCATCTATTGGGCCGTAACTCAGCCCAGAGTGGGAATCCTGTGTTTACATTTTTTTAGAAAGCCGGCCCGGCCCGGGCCATTTGCCATTGCTTTATTGCGTTCTCTTTTCTGTCGATCTCAAATATAAATTATAAAATATAAAAGAAAATTTGGAATTAATTAAAGGTTGATAAAGCCTAAAACCCTAGCAACGATTAAGGAGCTATGAAGCGAACTCTGTTCTACGCTCGCAATTTTCTTCTCTTTCCTCCCAAATTCAACGCAAGCCATAAAATTTCACCCATTCAACTTGCTTTTTCAGCTCGGCCGACAGTCAGGTTCTATACATCCGAGTCTGATTCATCCAATTTTGCCCAAACTCAGAACGATAATGGCGGCGCAGATGTTGAGGATGTCAGCAACGAAGGTAAAACTGGTATTTGTCTTCTTTTTGGTTGCCGAGAAAGTTGATAGAGAGAAGAAATGAAAAGCTTTTTTCTTTTATTATAAAACTCTGTGATTGGACTTGTAAGATATGTAATTTTTTTTTTTTTTTTTTTAATTCTGGGTTACTTAGATCGATTTTTGGCTTCTTAATCTTCGACATACTTGAACTAACTCGTTTATGAAGAGTAGCATGTACTTCATATTCATGGCTGCTTCTGTATTCTACTTGTTTATCAAACTCTGTTTTATTTATGTTGATTTAGTGTTAAATCGTTTTGTAAATACTAGAGCTTAAAAGGAGAATAGAGAACTACTTTGAGGGAGATGAAGAGGCATACCATCAATATTTGAAGCCATTTTGAATAGGAAGTTGGCAGGGAAGCATGAAGAGAGTGATGATGATTGATGGAAGAGATTAGACGCAAAAATTAAGAGGAAGATCATGTCAAAGAAGAAGAAGAGTTTGATTCCGAGCAAGATAAGTAGTTGGAACACCACCTTAATGATTTGTTCATTTATATTTTTGTTAGATTTTGGTTCACGCTCATCCTTTGTTTGTTTGGATGTATAAATGTAAAATCATTAGGACTAATTTTACATATTTATAAACTTGCAATTGATTATTTTGGTATTTTTGTTTATGGATTTGGGATACCTTATGATATAATTTGAGAAGCTGAAAGGGGGGCAAAGTGAACTTTTAAATAGAACAATAAAATTCCAATTTCATTAATTAAATTTGTACAATTTTGGAACAATTAACAAGATTAATTAAATTTATAGAATAATTTAAAATAAAAAATAAAAAAATTTAGTGAGTTCTGAATTGGAGGCATAACCAAGGTAAAATGTAATGGGAATCATAAATAAAAAATGGATTTTTCTCATCAAATAATTTTGAGAATACATTTGAAACATAAATATCAATAAACATAATTGTAAAATAATTTTATGATCATTTTCATTCATCATCTATAATACATTAAAACTTCATAATTCATGTTTTAGTAGTACAATATTAGAATTTAAATTCAAGTTTTAATAATATTAGGGTTTCAATTGCCTACTTTTGAAATTGATAGAAGATCGTGCTTTGAAACCAACAAAGATAACTGTCATTGATGGAATTATAAATGTAGTTGTTGTATGACAACTAATGTGAAGCTACAGATAATTGTCAATTGTTAAGCATTACAAAATTAGGACTCTCGATGTCGATGAATTGCAAGTTACAAATGAAGTGGATGAGGAGAATCAAAGAGTCATTGTAGAATTGAGTGATCAGATTCGATAACTTCATTGTATTAGTCGAATGAATATTAATGGTTTTTTTAATCATCCAAATGAGTAACAAGTCATGTATGTTTTAATAAAAGAAGAAATCATTTCTATAATTAAACAAGAAGAGAAAACAAATAATTATGAGGATGATAGTATGGAAATACAAAAAGTTTCATGTCAAGAAGTTCTAATCATGTTTGAGAAGCTACAAATGTTTTGGCCTTAACAAGAAAATGTCCATGCGAGCGAGTAATGTACCTGCAAGTTAAAAAATGTGGTAACAACTTTAAAGAATAAATTATTATCCTAAACAATTTCAGATAAATATTTTATTTCATCTTAAACCTTTAATGCAACATACTATATTTTTTTTTGCAATATAAAGATAATTATTACTATGTGGAGGCATATTTCCTTAAGATGAAAATTAGAAAAATTATAACTTATTATAATATAGAGTTTATTCTTATTTTTAACTATCACAAATTGGGAATAAATTTTTTTATGATTATTTAGAGTTTATTCTTATATAAAATATCACCATAGAGAGGTTTTATTGTATATAGACTATATATGAAAACATTTACAAGGAAAGAATAAAAGAATTAATTACGTAATATTTCAAAAAAATGTCTTATAATTATGAAAGAAATAATATTCTATAACTTTTAAGAAATAAATAATATCTTATAATTAATAACATTGACCATATCAATTTCTTATTCACAGGATATTCTAGTATCAATCTCTTGATAATAAATTTAAAATTAACAATTTAAAAATGCATTTTTGTAGATTTTATGGATTAAAAAAAAAATCATTAATTAACATAGCAAGCTTTTTTTTGCCCTTTTAGAATTAATAATTTAATATGGAGGCAAATCTCAGAATCAGTTATTGCCTTATTGGTGACCAGCCAAACAGGCCCTTAAAGCCTGTGATAAAATTCACAAACCAGGTAAAAATGAGACGAACTCTGCTAAAAAATGTTTCTTTCCTTATGCGAAACCTTCTGCAGAATCCAAACCCTAATGCATCACTCATTCCACTCGCTGCTTCGACTCGGTCTCCACTCAGACTCTACTCGTCCGACTCAAGCGACTCCTCTAATGACCAAGACCTCCCTGCCTCCGCTGCTGAATCCACATTGGCAGCTCAAACCCAGGAGAAGGACGTGTCTCTCGATGTTCAGGATGTGGGTAATACAGGTAAAAAAGTTTATATTTGTGTTTTGAATGTGTTTGGTTGGTGGGAAAATGGAGGAAAGTGAAAGCAAGTTTTGTGGGTCTGATTTATTTTTTATTGAAATTGAAATTTATTCTGGTAGAATTCTCAGCTAGGATTTATGAAAGGTTTCTGGGTTTGATTTATTTTGTATTGCTGAAATTTATTTTGGAAAAATTCAAACTTAGATTGAAAAAAATGTTGTGATTTGATTTAAATTATGTGTGATTTAACCGTTTGTTGTTTCATATCAGACCTGAGAAACAAGTTAGCCTGGATCCTAGAGGACGCGATTATTAAATATGGGTTGGCCAGAGATGGTGAATCAGATGGAGAATCAGATGATGAATCAGATGGTGAATCAGATGGTGAATCAGATTATCAAGCAAATTATCAATCAGATGGTGAACGATGGGTTTACCGGAGCCAAAAACAGATGCTTTGCGATTTGGTTCGGCGGGGCCATATTCGAAACCCAGCAGAAAAATGGCTTAGAGATGTGGTTCGGCGGGGGCATCTTGATATTCATGAAATCCCAGAACCAGGTGACTATGAATTAGTTGATGAATCAGATGAATCAGATAAGGATTATCAATCTACTGGAAAATGAGATGCTTTGCGATTTGGTTCGGTGAACCAATGGCTTAGAGATGCGGGGGTATCTTTGTTATGCAACGGAAACGTTAGCTATTGAATATAATAATAAGAAGTAGTAAAGCATAAATAAATAAATAATCAAAATTAAATGTAAAATAAAGAATACCAGGAATTAACGAGGTTCGGTATTGAAACCTACCTCCTCGGACGCTGCAAAAGAAAACTCTACTATCTCCAAACAATATTACAAACTTTTGGGCAATACAACAAATACCCAAAACAAAGGGGAGATATAACAAAACTTACAAACTAAAGGGTCTTTAAAGAAAGAACTCTAAACAAAAGAAGTATAATGGAATTACATCTTGGGATGCTTAATAACAATGATTTGGGTCTTTATATATAGGCCCCAAAAGTTTCCTACTTTCCAATCCTAATCAATGTGGGACAAATTAATCTTTTTTGGCCTATTACATATAAGTCCCTAAACCTTTCTCCATTATCATTTCTACCCTATATGATTTTGCTAAGAGCCATTTTTCAACAAATCTTCACCTTGGCAAATTAGTAAACCTTCAAAGTTTTGTATTCTTCTGTCAAATTTTGCAACACCTTCAAATGTGCCAAAAAGCACAATCAAGCTTGTTGGATGTTGATCAAGTTCAAACAATAAATGAACTTGACCCTTGTCACTACTGAAGTCAACATGTCTGCAGGATTATCTTCTGTGCCAATCTTCTGGAGAATCATTTTCCCATTTTCAATATAATCCCACACAAAAACTAAACCAATATCTATATTACATAAAATATACTGTAGAAACAATTTCACAACTTGCAAATGTCCTTTACTAGGATCATGCATATGCCTGCTCACCATACTAACTGCTTGTGAAATATCAGGCCTTGTGTACCCATGACCTATCATACATTGATCAAATCGCTTATACCACTGTCTTGGTGACTGCTTCAAACTATATAGCAATTTCTTCAATCTGCAAACCCAATTTTTCTTTCCAGCAACCCTACAATCATCTGGCTGAGTCTTGTAGATTTCCTCTTCCAAACTATCATGTGAAAACGCGATTTTCACATCCAATTGAACTAGTTCAAAATCAAATTGTGCCACCAAGGTTAGCAAAATTAGAATGGAAGAATATTTTACCACAGGAGAAAACACTTCACTATAATCAAATCCTTCCATTTGAGCGTATCCCTTTACTACCAACCTAACCTTGTGTCGAACATCTTCTCTATTAGGAAATCCCTTCTTCTTTACATACACCCATTTGCACCCAATTGTCTTCTAATGTAGGGATCACATTTCATCATTCATGGCCGGTTTCCATGATTCACAATTTGAACTCCTAACTACTTCTTTATAAGTAGTAGGAATATCATCACCTACGATTGGAAGTGCATAAGCCACCATATTAGCGAAACGAGCAGGCTCTCGTCTTGACCTATTGTATGCAATCAATTCCTGTTGCTGAGGAGATTCTTGGGGTAAAATCTCCTTTTCATCTATAGTATCCACATTAGTCACCTCAGAATCACTTTCTGTCTCGTGGACACTATCTGGTTCAACTGTTGTTTCAAACTCCACCTGCTGCCGAGTATGCTCCACACACATATGCCACAGCTTCAGCATTTCTAAATCTGCATCCTCTGTACGACTGCAGCTGTCGTTCCAATAACTGTACTACCATTATAGTAATACAAGTTGTTTCTCCTCGTGCCTTTCATTACCACAAGAGCGCCTGAAGAAACTTTTAGAATTCCATTTCACATATTCACCGTGAAGCCTTTAGATTCCAAGGCTCCCAAAGAGATGAGATTCTTTTTCAACTTTGGTACATACTGAACATCTGTCAGAGTTCTAGTCAAGCCATCATGATTCTTCAACCGAATTGAACCTATCCCAGTTGTTTTACAAGCATCATCATTGCCCATATAAACAACTCCATCACGTTCTTCAAAATTAAAGAACCAGTCCTGGTGAGGACACATATGATAGGTACTACCTGAATCTATAATCCACTCATTTGATCCAGAGGTGGATGGTAGGCTAACTAGACAGAAATCTGACTCATCCTCTTCACCCTCAACAACGCATGCATCAGAAGCAATTTTGCCTTCTTTCTTTTTCAACTTCGGACAATCTTTCTTCCAATGCCCATTCTCACGACAAAAGGCACATTGATCCCAACTGAGTTTTCCCTTTGAACGAGATCTTCCTCTTCTCTCATTCATGTATTTGTTTTCCAGCGCCTTCCATAACTTATTGGCAGAAGTCTATTTCATGAATGGATATTTATGCTATCTACAAAGACATGAGCGAATCATCCCACACGCTTTTACATTCAACCTCACCCAGTCTTTCTCATAGACATCTTCTGGTTTTTCCTCCTCCAGAACGATATCTAGATCCTGCTGATACAAGCTATCCATTACCTCACTCTGCCACAAGCCAAAATTATTTTGGCCATCAAATTTTTCAACATCAATTTTTGCATTTGAAACCGTTATCATCTTTACTGGTACGGATGGTGGTGCCGCGGACGGTGATGCCTCGGACGATGAATCCTCGGACAATAATGCCATTTATGCCTTACTCAATTAGCTTGGTAAACAAAGTTCCCAATAACCAAGCTCCACAAATTATTATATTCAATAGCTAACCAACAAATCAACAATAGCCCTAGGTAGTAGTAAGTGCTGAAATGATTAAATACGCACCAGGAAAATTCCCAGGAAACAATGGAGGGGTCACAAATGGTCCCACTTAAAATCCAGTCTCCTTAGACTTTTATCGTCTTTTTGACAGAATTTTCCTAGACATGCATATAACCATATAAATAGCTACTCACTGTCCTAAACCTAGGCTCTGATACCAATTGTTATGCAACGGAAACATAAACTCTAACGCTAGCTATTGAATATAATAATAACAAGTAGTAAAGCATAATTAAATAGCCAAAATTAAATGCAAAATAAAGAATACTAGGAATTAACGAGGTTCGGTATTGAAACCTACGTCCTCGGGCGCTGCAAAAGAAAACTCCACTATCTCCAAACAATATTACAAACTTCTGGGCAATAAAAATACCCAAAACAAAAGGGAGATACAACAAAACTTATAAACTAAAGGGTCCTTAAAGAAAGAACCCTAAACAAAAGAAGTATAATGGAATTACATCTTGGGATGCCTAATAACAATGATTTGGGTCCTTATATATAGGCCCCAAAAGTTTCCCACCTTTCAATCCTAATCAATGTGGGATAAACTAACCTTTTTTGGCCTATAACATATAAGTCCCTAAACCTTTCTCCATTATCATTTCTACCCTATATGATTTTGCTAAGAGCCATTTTTCAACTATCTTGATATTCTTGAAATCCCAAAAGAAGAAAAATAGAGATTTGACAGCGCATGTTAAATACAAATTCTACATAGGGTTATGATTAATTTACATTAAATTAAAGTAGTTCATTTGCTTTGATTAATATGTTCATTTTCATGACCATTCTTGAAGCTCGGAGACGCACATCCCATTGCTTCTTTCAAAATCCCATCTCAACTTTGATGAATAAGTGCTTTCATAATTAATTGCATAAAAATCATAAATTAGTACATTAAAATGAGAACCCAATAAATAAATAAACGGTTATTATCAACCAAATGATACTTTTATTAGAAAAGACAACGAGAGGACAATTAATGGTTTAAAGCCGTTGACTTTGGCTAATTTTTTTTTTTTTTAATATATATTTGTGTAAGTGATTTTATTGTTTAATAAAACTAACATACACATTGTTGAAATTAAAAATAAAATAAAATATATACAGTTATATAAATTAAAAAATATAACAATATGTATTGAAAAAAATTAAAATTAAAAAAAAAATCAAAACTAAAATAAAATAAATAAAAAACCTTAAAAAAATTAAAACTAAAATATAAATATTTCAGTGAGTGTATATTGTTTTATTTCTTTTTATTTTTTAAAAACAATAAAATCACTTACACATATATATTTCAATCATTTAAGTAAATTATATCTTACCTCCCATAAGTCTCTTGCTTTGCCCGCAGGTCCGCAGTTGATGAATTAAGCCCAATTCAGCCCAATTATCATTCTATTCCATAGTACTAGGCCTATTTGTCATTTTGATCTGCACGAGATGTCATGCTGCTCCACTCCACCCCAGAGGGTCAGATTAATTAATTATTTAATTAGTTTAATGTAAAAGCTTAATTACCTATAGCTTTACGATGTATCAGATGAACCCTTATGTTTTTACTTTGCCTATTCAGTTTCGTGTTCGATTAATAAAACCCATATCATTTCGATGATTTATGAAACCCCTATACTTTTTGCGCTCTTCATGAACCTAGACCTAGAGTTTGACGATCTATTTCACCATTAGTTTGACGTTCTGTTTTAGTATCCAGAATCTTAATATTTCAAAATATTGACAAAAAAAGAGTTGAATTTCTATGACAAACTTAGGGAGCTAAATTTTATCCAATTTCTTTCGCTACTTCTGTAAAATAACAAAGAAAAGAAATGCAGATAACAAGTTATTACCAAAGCCAGTACTTCTTCTTTAAATTCTGAAATGCGAAAGAACTTCATCAAGATAGACGGCTAGCCTACCACTTCATCAACATGCTCGCTCTATTCAATTCAGAGAAAATGGAACGTAGTAAACATATAGAAATGCACCAAATTTACTACTCTGTTCGTTGCATGCCCAAAAAGCCAATTTTCATTATATATATTAAGTGGAAGAATTTTGTTTTGTTGTGCAAATAAAAAACTGAATTGTGTGGCCAATGTGTAAAATACATTCATGTTCCAATATTCATATAAAAGTGATTATAAAATCAATTTCAATATAAAATCTCCATGGAATATATGCGGAAGTAAATGACAAACCTCCAGCCATAGCAATTGTTGTTTGATCTTCTTGCTCCTTAAAAAATTACAGGATCTTCCACTGACTGTAATCTTAGAGTGATGGTTTTGAAACTAAAATAAAAACTACG